CCCCAAAACCCCAAACCCCAAAACCCCAAAACCCCAAAACCCCATTATAAACACTTGGTGTCGAAATCATTAGATAATAATTATTAATTATAAGTCTATGGATATGGAACGTCATAACATGAGTAAGAGGCAGTCTGAGAAAGAACCTGGAGATTCTTCAAATGCTAACATGCTTTGGAAGATCCCTGATAACTTAAGTTTTAATGTAAGCTATGTGTGTTTGATAATTATGCTACCAAATTTATGCTGGCTTATTTAAAAAGTAGAACTTTTCAAGCAGCTGTTTGTATTTATAAGATCATCTATTTTAAGCCAATTTTTCACAATTTTTGGAGATGATGCTAAACTAAAATTATTTTTTTATATTTTTACTCTCTTTTTCTAATACAAAACATCATAAAGAAGCATCCTTCACAATAATTATAGAGCCAGGGGATGTCAAATAGTATTAAAAATGAGATGCAGAAGAAAAGTAAGATATACAGCTCTATTTCTATTCATGTCAGACTATTTGTTGCCGAAATTTTATTTTGTTCCATCTTTATTTTTCTAATTTCTTAATCTAGAACCTGAACAGAAGCAGTACGAAGAAGACAAGGATCCAGTTTCTAACCCATCAAAGCGAGGTAGGAAGCGCAAGAGAGATGTCGAGGGTGACCTCTCCCCAAAATCTAGAAGAAAAGCACAGAACAGAATCTACTGCCGTGAAAATAGAAGGAAGAAAAAGGAGTATATCACTGAACTAGAGAACACAGTTGATAAACTTGAAGGCGAAATTGTTAGGCTAAACAACCTTATCGATAAGTACAGGTTCAAAATCGGGGTTCATGTCATTGGGGAAGAGAAAGACTTCCAAGAGTATAATGAACTACAGGAATATCGTAGGCAGCATGCAGTTAAATCTCTCCAAGAAGGGAAAGATAAGAAAGAACTCCAGAGAAATATCAAAGAGTTCTCTAAGTTTGCAGGTCTAGCTTCTAATGATAGGAAGAAGTTAATCAAAGCAGCTGTGAGAGTTATTGTCGAGAATTTGGTCCCACATAGAGTCAGAATTTTGCTCAACTTGTGTGACACCCAGACTAATCCATCTTTTGAAGATATCCAGAAGTTATTCAAATGCGATGAGAAAAGATTCCAGATCGAGGTCAAGGATCCTAAGTTTAGTGAACTAGACAGGTAAATAATCTTTTAAGAATCAATTTAGGCTGCATTACAAGATGAAGTTGGATCCCTTCCATCACTTCAATTTAAGAAGAAAGCTACCGTTATGGATAAAGTATAAATAAAATGTTTGAGTCATGTGTCCACGATTTGATCAGAGTGAGGAACAGGATTTTCAACCTCCACATTGATTTTTCAACAAGGTAAGCTCCTGAGTCTGCTGACACTTCTTTAGGATGGACAATCCCAAGGAAATAGGAATATCACCTGAAGGAGTCATCAGATTTTATGAATTAACTAAGAAAATGGAGCATGAAGAGAGATATGATATTTTCAATACTTGGAATATAAAGCGCACTGTTGAATCAGCAACTATTACTGAGAGTAATACTATTGATGAAGATGAGATAGAACTTAGCGATATAGAAAATGAAAAAATTGGCAGCCACATTGGTCAATTCGAAGAAAGGAGTGAAGAGAATATTAATTGTTAGCTCATAATAAGCATTATGAAAATTTCAATGTGAGAGATTTAAACTTGATTCAATTCTTTACCCTTGCTCTGGGGTTTTGGGGTTTTGGGGTTTTGGGGTTTTGGGG